TTAAGCTTTTATGAAACAATACAAAGGAGTTGATTATTGGGTTGGAGATTAGACCTTCCACTAATAGGATTAAAACTTAAAAAAGTGAAGCACTAAACAAAGAACTGGGTGTAAGATGTTTTATATTTTTTAAAAAATAAACCTGAAGAAAGAGTCTATTAAATGTAAGCTGCTTATTCCTCATAAGAGGAAAGAATATTTAGGGAATGAAGAGTAAAAATCAAAGAAAGCGGAATGTCTTGGCAAAACTTTAATGTTCATTTTAATCTTGAATGTGAAGTCTGCTGTATGCTTGACTTTAAACGAATGACCTTTCAGTGCCAGTGAAGTCAAATATCAAACAGTAGAGCCTTAAGTAACAAGAAAATGCCAGAAGTGAGTTGATCTGGTTCAACTTAGTAGAATTCTAGAGTAAACCTAGCTTGAAGAGAAATTCCTTTTGTTGTGGAAAATCCGTTTAACACGTATTAGTGTTCTTGCCTTAGAATAATGGAGTGAACATAATGAAATCTTGAATTTAGAATTGTAGAGCCATGGGGTAGCCACGGTTCAGCTCTTTATTGAACACACACTGTGAAAGGGCACTGTGCCACCTCCTGTGTCATCTTGAGAAGTAGGACACATCTGCTGCCCTCAAGGGGAACTGATGGCACAGGCAGTAAGTGCCACAGAAATGCCTGGTAGGGAGGTCCCAGTTAAAAGGAGCCAGGATGGCTGCCACCTGACAGAGTTGAAGAGACCTACAGGAGGAGGGGTGAGCAAATTCTAAATGGGAGAGAAGTTCCTCTGTTGTGTGCTGTCCAGTTAATTCTGACTTAAAGCGACCCTATAGGACAGAGTGGAACTGCCCCATACGCTTTCCTAGGTTGTAATCTCTGCTGACACACTTTGCCAAGTGTGGCAAAGTCCTTTTTCCTGGTGAGTGGTTGCTGGGTTCAAATCCTCGACCTTTCTGCTATTAGCATTTGAGCACTTAAGCATTACACCACAAGGGTTCCTCTGTTGTTGTTGTTGTTATTTGCCATCGAGTCGACCCCGACTCATGGCGACCCCTCCTTGGGTTTCCGAGGCAGTATCACTACGGAAGTAGGATTGCCCAACCTTCTTTCCGAGGAGTGGCTAGTGGGTTTGAACCTCCAGCCTTCTGGTTAGCCTGGGTTCAGTAATATCATCCATAGGTTCTTCCATAAAAGTATCACCAGATTACTTTTCTAATCAGAAGGAAGAAAAGGAGAGAAAGCGTGCTACATAAAGTAAGACAGAAAATGGAGACGTGATATTATAAGACCAGTAACTGGACTATTAAAATAAATCTGTTAAAACTAGTATACAGCTATAGTCCCTTCTTTATTAAAGAAGAAAAAAATCACAAAAGTTAAAAATAAAAAGCAAGGTAAAGCTCATTAAAGGGTACAGTGTAGGTCCTCTTGTTTTGAATGGCAACTCCATATATTAGAGTAGAACTTCTGCTTCTTTATGGAAGCAGAAGTCAGCCTTTCTAAAAGCACATATTAAAATATCTTAAAAGCAGCCACAGAGAAATAATCAATTACCTACAGAGTAATCACAATTAGGCTGACAACTGTTCCCCCAGCAGCAATATTGAAAGGCAGAAAACAGATAAATTTTGGTGTCAGCCTAGAATTCTATTCCCAACAAATACCTCTCAACAAATTATCTTTTAAAAATGAGGGCAAAATAAAGATGATGGTGATTTTTTTTTTTTTCCTCAATTGTGATCTGGGTGAAAGTTTACAGCACAAATTAGTTTTCCAATCAATATAGTTCATCTGCACTCTTTCGTGACATTGATCGCAATCTCCACAATGTAACAGTTCTCTTCCCAGTTTCTCCCTGTGGTTAGTTACCTTTCCTCTGTGTCCTCCTTCCCTGTGCATGCCTACCTTCAGAGCTTCTTCCCTGTGCAAATGCTGCTCTTCAGTCTCCCGTCTCCTGTGGTTGATTGTTCTAAGGGGTACCTGATGTAAATGTTCACATGATAGGCCTGTGTGTTGTTTGGTTGGAAGTCAAGGCAGTGAGTCCAATTCCGGGCCAAAGGGTGACTAGGGGCCATAGTTTCAGGGGTTTCGCCAGTCTCTATTGGACCAGTAAGCCTGGTCCTTTTTAGATTTTGAATTTTGTTTCACGTTTTTCTTCCACTCTTTCCACTATCTCCTACACTGATGCCTTATCTGAGTGGTAGCCGGGAGCCATCTAGTTCTGATCTCAGGGTCATGTAGGCTGAGGTTCTCATGGTCCACTTGTTGATTCCAAGCATCTTTGGTTTTCTTCATTCTTCTTTGCTCTGGGTGAGGAGAGACTAATTATTGCATCTTAGATGGTCAATCGCAAGCTTTTAAGACCCTAGTCACTACTCGTCAAAGTAGGATGTAGAACAATGTTTTTGTGTAGCATGTTATGCCAATTGAGCTTGGTGTCCCCTGCAACCATAGTCTTCATCCTGTGGGCCCAGTGACTCACTCCCTCAGGATGTTTGCCCTCTGCTCCCCTTTTTCTTTTTTTGCACTGTTCCTTCCCCTCCCACCCCTGCTAATCAACAAAGTTTCCTTCCATACTTTCCTTGACTTTTTTACAATAATGAACTAATACAATATTTGTCCTTCTGCAAGTGACTTATTTCACTCAGCATAATGTCCTCCAAGTTCATCTGTGTTTGAATTGTTTGTCTTTCTGATGTTGAAGTGTTGAAGTTTTCTATAAATTTTGGAGATAAGTTGCTTGTTGGATATATTGTCGCCAAGTACTTTTTATTTCGGTTCTCTTTTTACTCTTTTGGGGAAGTCTTTTGATAAACATAAGCATTTACTTTTTAGAAGGACCCGGTCATGTAGTTTATCTTCTGCTTTTTGTGCATTTTTGGTTACATTTGATAGTCTATTTATGCCATAAATGAGGGCCCCTAAATTTGTCCCTATTTTTTCCTTGAGGAATTTTAGAGTTTTACGTTTCACATTTAAGTCTTTGATCCATCTGGAGTTAGTTTCTGTGTGTGATGTGAGGTATGGATCTTGTTTCATTTTTCTGCAAATAGATATTCAGTTTTGCCAGCACCACTTGTTAAAGAGACCATCTCTTCTCCATTTAATGGGTTTCCACTCTGTCAAAGATCAGCTGTCTATAGGGTTGGATCTATTTCTGGATTCTCAGTTCTGTTCCACAGGTCTGTGTGTCTGTCTGTTGTTGTACCAGTACCAGGCTATTTTGACTGTTGTGGCTGTACAGTAGGTTTTGAGATCAGGGAGTGTGAGTCCTTCTACTTTGTTGTTGTTCCTTAGTAGTGCTTTGAAAGTAAAGCTTATTTTAAAAATAAATTCAGGAATCTATATTATTATCTTTAAAACTGAAAAGATACGATAAGTGCAATGCCTACTCCTGACTGGAAAAAGAAAAGTAGGCAGGTACTATGCTAATGGTAAAATATTAGAGCCATTCCTGTTAGTGTCTGGAGCAAAACTGGGATGTCCAGTATTACCACTGTTGTTTAATATTATATCTGAAATTCTACTTGAGAAAAGGAAATGAATATCAGAGCAAAGACATTATATGTATCTTTTGAATTGTCGTCATCTGCCTGCTTGCATAGTACAGGGGTGGTTCGGTGGTAGCATCCTCTCCTTCTGTGTGGGAGACCCAGGCTCGATTCCTAGCTAGTGCACCCCAAGTGCACTCACCACTTGTCTCTCAGTGGCAGCTTGTGGGTTGCTGTGATGCTAAACAAGTTTCAGTGGGCATCCAGATTGAGACTAAGAAGAAAGGCCTGGTGATCATCTTCCGAAAATCAGCCAGTAGCAACCCCATGGATCACAACAGTGCAATCCCATTGTGCATGGAATTGCCATGAGCTGGGGGCTGACTTGCTGGCAGCTAACAAGAACTACACTTGTATAACAAAGTAATCACCTGAAAAACTATCAGAAATAATGCACACAGAAATTGGACCCAACAATAAGTGTATCTGGTAACTAAGAGCTTGAAAACCATTCATTCTGCTTTTTGTTCATAATAATAATGATAATAATAGAACATAATTGTATTCTTTCAAAATGTTATTGCATACTGACAAAGGGCACAAAGAACACTCAGGATGGCTTTGCCTTCATGGAGCTCCTGGTTGAGTGGTACAGAGGGTGGCATACTTGTTACTGACTTCATTAGCTACAACAGGTATAAAGGAGCAATTTTCCAATTTATCTGAGGGGCAAAATGGAGGGAAGAAGCAGAAAATAATTCACAGAGGAGATGATCCCTAAATTGAGACCACATTCATGACTCCAAGGTCAAATTTTGAAGAAAATGCCCTCAACTCCCTGATAGAATAAAATTTACTAGTAAAAATGAATTGTCATGTTCAAATGAGTAATTTTTATGGCCATTTTTAATTTCACAACCAGTGTTAGAGATTCTGAAAGAGGAAAATTATCACATGACAGACTGTATTATAAGCTGAAATCAGGTGACTTATTTTGAGAGTTAATCATGCTGAGTACTTAGAAAACCTATCTTACAAAGAGATGTCTGAAGAAGTCTGTAATCAGTTTTAATCTGATTATTTTAATAGGTTTAGTTGGTGTAGGAGTTGAGGATGGTCTGCTGTTAGCAAAGTATTTTTCTTTTACTTTAAGCTTTGATTAAACTGTATGATTAATTAGAACATGGGACTTGATTTAAAAGTGATGACTTGGGAGCTTTAAGAATTTGTTACTTATTTCTAACTGTGTTTTGTCTAAGTGACTTTTACACTTGGAGACTTTTAAGAGAGCTTTTGGGACATAAGGCGGCACCACGAGGTGTGGAGGTTGTGGTCTCCTTCAGATCCTGTCTTATCTGTCTGTGTTCTTGTATCTACCTGTTGTTGTCCTATAAGCATTATTTCCCCACCCCCACCCCAAAATTACTTCAACAAAGTTTGTGTCTCATGACTTCAACAATTCCAACTTCAAACAATTTATGATGAACTAATATTATTCTTTCTTTTTCAGGATTGTAGAAATCTATAGTAGAAGATTACAAGGTAAACTTTTTAAAATATTTATTTTTCTTACAGCAAAGCATTTTCTTTTTCTTATAGAAAAAGTATTTTACTTTTCCTAGTACAAATATAATAATATGCTTTATAAAATTAAAAATGAGAATAAAAGAGTCTTCTATGTATCAAGTCCCCCAAATAAATCAGTTGGATTTGCACAATTCTCCATATTTTCTCTATGCATATGTCAACATTTAAAAATCAATTTTTATTATATTTAAACACAAATGGTCTTGAATTATACATATTAGATTATGCTTTCTTTTTTCTTTATTTTTTTCACTTAAAAAATCTTGAACATTTTTTTCACATTTATTAAACTACTTCATTCATTTTGATAGTTGTTCAGCATTCCATTGTATGGCTGTGCCTTGACTTGATTTAACCAATCCCTCTCCTGGATTTGGGGATGTTTTCAAGTAGGTATGATGCTGCAATTAACACTCTTGTCTGTATTCAAAGACAAGTTGTTTTATTCAGCACAGGAGCTGCATTATTTAGGTTAAGTAGTTGATTTTCAACATTGCTGAGTTCAGTTCAAAAATTGGACGTTAGCCCCTTAATCCTGTTTCGGGCTATTTATTTAATTATTTGCTCTGCTCTACCTCCAGGGTGGTGCTTGTTACCAATATTCTGTTGGTTTTATTGCACATGTAAGAAACAATTGCTGTTCTAATCCCTCCCCACAACTGATGCTGAGAAACCTTCAGCACCTGCACTGCATTGAATGCTAGAGGTGGGGACCCACACAGAAGCCTCCATGGCCCAGTCTGCAGACAGAGTAAACTGGTCAAAGCTGGTGGATCTTGGGTATTAAGTGTCACAAAAGTCTGCTTCTTAAGATTTCACATATTCTACAGACAAAAAAAAAAAAAAAAAAGATTGTTTTCAGGCATCTTTCTGTATCGGCAGGAGCGCTGGTTGCACAGTGCTTAAGCATTTGGCTGCTAACTGAAAGTGGGGCAGTTTGAATCCACCAGCTGCACCATGGGGGAAAGATGAGGCAATCTGCTTCTATAAAGATTACAGCATTGGAAACCATATGGGGCAGTTCTACTCTGTCCTGTAGATTCACTATGAGTCAGAATTGATGTGATGGGCCATGGGTTTGGTTTCTTTAGTTGTTGTAATTTGATCTGTGTTAGACTTTTACACTGAGCTCTTTGTCACATCCACAGTTCAGGAACGCCTTACAAAACAAATTGCTGTGGCCATCACAGAAGCCTTGCGACCTGCTGGAGTTGGAGTGGTGGTTGAAGCAACGTAAGTCCATACTTGTTTCTAGTAATGTCATACTGGTGCAGGAAAAATGATGTTTAGTGCTGCTCACTTTTTCTAGCAGAGGGTGATACTACACAATTGACAGTAGCATTGTTGGTTTCTACCTCTGAGCATAAGGTCCTTTTACCTTTCATTAATGGTGTGATGTAGGAGCTCTGGTGGCGTAGTGCCTAAGGCATTTGACTGCTAAGCAGAAGGCTGGTGGTTCAAATCCACCAGCCACTCCTCGGAAGGAAGATGGGGCAATCTACTTCTGTAGCGATAGTGCCTTGGAAACCCAAGGAAGCATTGCTATAAGTCGAAATTGACTCGGCAGCAGTGAGTTTGGTTTTTGGTTTGGTAATGGTGTGATGTAGAAACCAGAGTATAGGAGACTTTTGTAGGTGGGAAGGGGCATGTAAGGGTGTAGGGATTTTTAAGCTTAGGTGCAGTAGTTTGCACAACCAGTAGTGTTGTATGTCTTCTCTTGGTTTCTTCTTTTGCTCTTTACTGTTCCAAGCCATGTTATTATATTTTTTAATGTTAATTTAAAAATATTATAATTGTTTTTTCACACATTTAACAAACTAGAGATAGCTAAGAATTGGTACAAAAGGCAAGGGAAGAAACTTGTAAGCTAGAATGAATGACGAGAATTGCATACATCCTGTGGGCAGTGTTTTCATCCATTCTACCAGAGTGCTATGAGCTCTGTCTTGAGTATGTTATCTGACTTCACTCGGTTGCTGAAACTCACAGTGGCCACTATTATAGAGATTCTGCCTAGTGAGGCCAGCATGCTTGATTATTTCTCTTAGCACCTAAGTTAGCATTATACTGCCTTGGCCCTGTAGGTGGATCAAGTAAATTTCCTTTTACATACAAATTGTGTATCACTGTAGATACTTTAGGTATTCTGGTATCACAGTGGTTACATAACTCAGCTACTGACCAAAACCCTAATGACCACTCCATGGGAGAAAGATGAGGCAATTTGCTTCTGTAAAGATTACAGCCTTGGAAACCCTATGGGGCATTTCTACTCTGTCCTGTAAGGTCCTATGAGTCAGAATTGACTCGATGGCAGTGGTTTGGTTTTTTGTTTTTTGGTAGACACTTCATGTCACTTTCACCCAGGATGAAAATCCCATTTTTTCCCCTTCTGTTAGATGCATTAAGGACTGGACCACTGAAAAGAAGAAGACAAAGAAACTTTAAAAATAATTTCAGATCCAGTTTATCTAAGAAGTGATGTTTGGACACATTTGCTAACCTCAAAGTGAAATGAATGTTTTGGCCTACTTTTTATTTTAAAAACCAGACTAGCAATTGTGTACTCCTTAAACCACCTTTGTTGTCTTGTTTTTTAGACACATGTGTATGGTAATGCGAGGGGTACAGAAAATGAACAGCAAAACTGTGACCAGCACGATGCTGGGTGTGTTCCGGGAAGACCCAAAGACTCGGGAGGAGTTTCTAACTCTCATTAGGAGCTGAACTGCAGGCTGTGCTGTGTGCTTTGCAGATCCTACTGCTAGAGGCATTTTGTGTCTGGTACATTCCATTTTCAATTGTTACAAATGTGAACTTTATTCCTTGTCATTAATTTTGTATAAAACTTATTTATAACAGGTCAAATAAAAGTAATTTATAAAGGGGTGAGCCCTCTACTTTATTCTTGGCGCCTTTTAGTGGTGACACTAAAGTGAACTGCAGTAGTCCAAGTTCCATGCACAGAACCACTGCCATTCAAATAACCTGAGGGTGCTGGCAAGGGAGAAGAATTAACGTGTTTGATTGAAACAGTGGTGATTTGACTTATAGGCACAGGAGTGTTGGTTGTGGGAGAGCTAATACACTGTTTTTTCCTTCCCAAGCAAAAAAATGGTGGTGTAGTGCTGAGAGTCCAAATAATTTCTGTGCAGTGTGCATCATTGCTCTGTGAATTCAAGTCCAACAGGCTCCACTTCAGTCTTGTTTACTAAACCACCAGTGATGCTTTTTAAAAATATATATATTTAGTTTTAAATACCAAGCTGTAATGTTAGTCACCATGGAAAGTGGTGGGATATCTGTACTTTGGATTTTACTATGAGTTAAAAGGCACATTTCTACCTTCTATTCTTTTTTAGCCCAAGTACAGGAAATCAGTTCCTGGAGTTGTTTACGAGTGTATTCTCATGTCAACATACAGGGATTTAGATATTTAACTCTCTGTGCCTTGATGTGAATATCACACCATTTAGAGTGTAGGTACCTTTGTCTTTCTTTAAGAGACATTATTTTATAAGACTTAGTACTGACATTACCTGTAACTAGTCCTCATAGTTTTACCTTTAGAATTTCCTTGGTGTTTACTTTGTGTGTTCCATGTAGATGCCTTAAAACATTTTTTAAAAAATCTTATCAAATATTTTTCTAAGTATTTCCTGAAACCTTTGAGGGTATCCATCGTTTTTGGGTCTGCTGAGCCATGGCTTCCAGGAATACGAGAGAATGCAGAAGAAACTAATTGTAGACTGCATTTTGAGCACTGTCCATTGTTCTGTGAAAGCTATATTGTTAGTGTTTGTGAAAATATGTCAGGAAGCCTATGATACTGATTTTCCACATGGTCCCTGGGGATTTTGTCTTCAGTGTAATTGTACAGGTGGTATGTATTTTAGTCTAGAAAGCTGTTGCCTTATTTATGATTATCTTAACATTTCCTTCACTGGGGCAGTGTAGGTCAAATGAAAACAAAACAGAATAATCCCTGCAAAAATACAAACACAGTTATTCCATGAGGAAGTCTCTTATTTGGTTGCAAAGTACCCTTCAAATGTATTCCGTTACCTTAAGAAAAATTGATTTAACTTTGAAAGTTCTATAAGTCTTGTCTTTGCGACTTTGATGCCATTTGGCTTATGATGGGGCAAGATGGCAGAGGTGTTGGATTTTTGTTTTTAATTCTTCCCTACTTCTGATATTTCCTAGCCTTCTCTATATTTGGAATTTGTAGAGTGTTTGTTGATTTTGAGGTTTTTTTTTAAAAAAAGTATAACATGGTATACATGTTATCCTGTATAATAATTAGACATTTAGAGTAGAATTCTAAGCAGTCATCTCATGCTTAGTAAAAAAAGTATAAAAAGTGTGACTTAGAGAACCAAAGAAATTGTTAGTGATAAATTTATCTTCTGACATCATTTGTATCTCTTTTTAATGACTCTTTGTTCTGACATTCCCTTGATGTCTTCTCATAAAGAACTAATGTATTTGCTGTCTGTCCTCTTATTGGTAAATGCAGTCATTACCCTATCTATTTCACTGTGGTCTTTCATATCTATGGCCTTGAATTTTTTCTTTTCGGGGGGAGGGACTTTTAAGAACTTGATGTATTTAAATACACTGTTCAATTATATTGTTTGAATCTTATGTATGTATATGTACATCCCTGGAGTTGGTTCTGTTTAAATTATTAAAGTGCTATCACTTTGTTCTTGTGAAAGTTGTTTCTTTTTGAGCCATGAGTATACATATCTCAAGTACCCCAACTATTTTAATTTGATCCAGTTTTTGTAAAGATACCACTTTTATGGGCTTCTCACAGCCATCAGGCTATTAGAATATGCATCCTAGGGTCCATACAGATCAGTCTTGGACTCTGACAGTTTCTCTGCTATGGTCTGAGTGCTGGGAAGGGAAGATTTGAAAATGTGAGAAAGCTGAGTAGCCCTCACAATCCTGCTTGTGGGAAGCCTGTCATAGTACCTGCAGCCTCCTGGGGGCAGGTACTGCATTCTCTGTGGGAGCTGTTGGGGAAGGGAGGAGTATGCTGGAGCAGGGAGCCATTTAGTGCAGGGAGGAGTGGAGAAGGGTTTCTTTCTCCCACTAGGGAAGAGATCTGCATAGCAAAACCTCTAAGTAGGTGCAGTGGGTTTTGCTGCTGCTTTTCTGTCTCATACTAGTAACCTCATCCTTCTTTCTACGAGGAGGTCTTCTCCTGTTTTACCTTCCTGCATCGAGGCAGAGACCCTCTCTGGTCGTCAGCATGTCCATGTGCTGGGCCACTGGAGGGTCCTGCTGCTCCTTGGGCGATGCTGTGGACTGTTGTGTAGTCCATCTAATCACCCAATCAAGGAATGCTTACCAGCATGAGACATTCCTAAAACCACTCTTCATAGGTTTCTATAAGACAATGAGTTGCTCAGCTAAACTCAAATGACTGCTTCTGAGCGTTTTAATTGACATTGATTGGCCAAGTTCCTTGCTTTGTCACTTGGTGGAAGAGCAATTGCAGATAACTAAGGTTGTAAAGAAGACTTTCCGCCAACACAGAACACTTGATTCTCCATGATGGGCTTGGGTTCTCCTCCTGATGGCGAGCAGAAGAGGAATTGCAGCAGATGAATTCCCTCTTACCCCAACTTCCCCTTATCATCACTGACAGGAGAAGGAAGAGAGTAATATCCAGAGACCTGACAACACTAACACTCCCTGAGGCATTTGCTTTATTTTCATTTTCATTTTCGTTTTTATTATGGAAGTTTAGAAATCCTCTGATTTCTACCTTCTCCTGTTTGGTTTGAGCAATTTGTCCAAAACTCTGATCTTTTATTATGGAAAAAATAATGCATGTACAACAGAGACTAGTATAATGAATCCTCATCCATTCATCACCCAGCTCCAATAATTTCAAACATATGGCTATCTACTTTCCTTCCTCCCATCTCCACTGGATTATTTTGAAGCAAATCCCAGACATCATTTTACCCAAATTATTCCAGATTATATAAAAGAAGGAAACACGTGAAAAAAATAAGCAAATGCCATTATCACACAAAAAATAACTCTGATATCCGATATCAAGTCAACATTCAATTTTCCCTTTTCTCCCTCTCTCTCTCTCTTTTTTTAAACAGGGTATTTGACTCGAGATATGATGAGGTCTATATGTTGCAAATGGTCAATCTGTTTCTTAAATCTCTTTAAAATTACGAAATCAACCCACTTTTTCCTTCCTTTATTGTACATTCCTTACAATTTATTTGGTCATTTGCTTTTGGAGAAGTCATGTGTTTACTGCAAGAAATGTCTAATTGCTGGAACTTCTGTGGCTCCCCAAGTGAAGTGAAACTTCAGCTAATAAGAGAAGCATTTTCTCTGCTTCCCACACTCTCTGTGTCCTTAAAGTCCCACTCAGGCCAGTCTGGTACCTGCCTGGCTTTTTACCTTGGACACAGCTCTCTTCTCTCATAACTCAGAGCCACCCTCCCAAGTACATAACCGAGTTTATTCCTTTTTTCCAGTTCTGTCCTTTCTGGACAGGCTTCAGTTTGAAAGCATCTACCATGTGGCTTCCTTGGCTTTAGCCTCATAAGTCCTTAGCTGCCAAGATTTTGGTTAAGGTACAGGGGTTATTACAGGACTGGAAACAGTGAATCCAGCAAGACTTGCCATCACTCTCAGTGAATTCCCCTATCCCTGGGGAATTCCAAAGTTTGAGTTGGATGCAGGAGTACTTGGGTTTTCCCTGCCCTTGGCTTCTTCGGCTACATTTTCAGGGCCCTCTGAGTAAAAATATCAGACTCTGGCCCACCTGGAGTGATGGAGGGAAGTGACACACCAGGTCCTGTTTTTAAGCAGCTGCTTTTATTCCCTCCCTAATGGTGTAGCTATGACTTACTTAGAAGTCATGTTGGAATAACTTCTAGCATGGGCATGACACAGCCCTAATGTGTCTATCCACTTTTCCTCTGATTTCTACCTTCTCCTGTTTGGTTTCAACAATAGGTCCACAACTCTGGCATTCTGACAAAGCCTTTAACTTCTGGAACTAACTGAGCTGAGAAACTTGGTTTGACTTTTAGTGAACAATTGTGAAGCTGTGTTCAGAGAACCCTGTGATGAAATGCCTGGGTATGTGCAAAAGCATCCCAAAGTAGTCACACTTAAAGCTGATTTTCTCTTGATTTGAGTATGTGGGTTTCTTCTTTTGCCTTTTCCTGGCCTGTTTCATATTTGAGAATGCACTGAACAAACAGACTACCTGAAATAATCTTCCTTCTAATTTATATATTTTTTTACAGAGTTTCACAGTATGTGACTACTAATACTAATTTTGACAGGCAGAGTCTATCTTTACTAGTAACTTTATGGAGATTTTTCTCTTTAAAGGGCCATTTCATTCTAAAATGTAAGGTTAAATGAATAGAAAATAAAAGAGCCAGTAACTAAATAAATATTAAACATCCTGACTGCCAAAGACCACAGGATTATCTTATTTTGGTCAATTGGAAAGTCCCTTTAACCCAGGACAACTCATCTCAGCAAAATTTCTCAGTCTCATTTCATGTTCCTGAAAGTTGATTCACTTATGAGCAAGGAGCGGGTGAACTTAAAGCCCTTACCCAAATCTTATCTGACAGTCTGTGTGGAAAGAGAGTGACTTCTTATGCTAATGCTTGAACATTTTATTAACGGAACTTCCATATGAATTTTTTGTTGTTGTTAGATGCTGTCACATAGACTCTGACCTATAGCGATTCCACGTGTAACAGAATGAAACAATGACCATTCCTGTGCAGTCCTCACAATGTTTTAACCCATTGTTATAGCCACTGTGTCCATCTCATTAAAGGTCTGCTTCTTTGTT